CTGAAGGGAGACGATGACGACGACGACGACGACGACGACGACGACGACGACGACGACGACGACGACGACGACGACGACGACGACGACCACGACGACGACGACGGTGGCGGCGGCGGCAACGACGACGACGACGTTGACGTGGGCCAGAGTCCTCAGAGATGGTTCTTGGGGTTTCTTCGGAAGTCTCTCGGGAGCCTCTGGGGAGGAACTTTGGGGCCTCTTAGGAGCCTCTTGGGGGCCTCTGCGGAGCCTCTTGGGGGCCTCTTGGGGGCCTCCTGAGGACCTTGTGGGCCTCTTGGGACCTTCCGGGAACCTCTTGGGGCCTCCTGGGAACCTCTTGGGGCCGAGGGCTCGAAATGTCCGTTCGGGCCACCCGTCTGGGTGCGCTCTTGGAGCCGTCTTGGCGACCGCTTGGGCCGTCTTGGAAGCGTTTTGGGCTGTCTTGGGGTCCTCTTGGGCTGTTTTGGGGCTTTCCTGGAGGCCTTTTGTGCCGTCTTGGGGCGATCTTGGGGGCCTCTTGCGCGTATTGGAGCCGCGGGAAGTGGAAAAGGCGAGCACGCCAAAATCTTGGAAACACCAACGGGAATTTGGCCTCGGGGGGCCCTCTCGAGAGTGCTCTTGCAAGCGTCTTGGGGCGTCTTGGAGGCCTCCTGGGCAGTCTGGAGGGCGTGAAGGCGTTTTGGACCGATCGTTTGGTGGCGATTGGGGGCCCTCCTCTTGGACCGTCTCGGCGGCCTCTGAGGGCACTCTTTGCCTGTCTTAGTGCTTTCTGAGGCTCTGGGTCCCCAGGGTGGGACGCGTATCTGACCCCCCCCGGACACCCCCTGGGACCCCCCGCCCCCCTGGACCCCACCCCCGACGGGGGAGGAATCAAAGGGAGGGGTTTCCCTTCGACGCGATGACGACATTGCTCGACTGTTCTCTCGCTGATAAGCTTGAGGAGGAGGGGGCAGGGAAAGGGGACGACGGAGACGACGACTGACGGAGACGACGACTCAAACAGCCGAGCCCGTCACACACGCCGACAGGGTCGGCGGATTTTATCCTCGTCCTGGCTTCGTCTTAAGGGGGGGAAAGGGGGGTTTGGTGCGTCAGGGTTAATTCCTGACTTTGGGTCGGTGCTTTGCCGTGCACTCCAGGAGCGCCACGGTGGCCCGAGTGCCCTGACCAACTCGGGCCTGCGGCAACGCTCCCGATCTGTACCCAACCACTCTCGTTGAATGCCGGTCTGTGCATGCTCGCGTCGCTTGAGACACCAGGCAGGTGCAGGGCCTGCAGTTATAGCAGGCCGGTCAGTGTGGGTCCGTGCCTGCTGGTTTCCGCCATGGACATCCGCGACAGACCGAACACACAAGTTTACACATGGCCCATGGCTGGCGAGGCGGGGCGCGCGAAGAAAGCGGCACCGCTCGCTCCCGATGTGCCCCGCTCCCCAGCCGCTACGTGTTGTTCTGTACGTTGACTGTTTGTCCAAAAGCATCGGATGCCCACCCTCGCCGCCGCCGACTCCGCGCCCGTGGGGGGCACACCTCCCGACGACCCCCCGAAACCAGCGGTCAGGCGCAGCTCGCCTTTGGCCTGGGGGGGCATGGCCTCTTAACCATGCCGGCATGACAGTTCAGGTTCCCGCTGAACGTTTCAAGTCTTGACGCTTCGCGAATTCCCACTGGCCCATCCAAAAAACAATCATCAAGCGGGTTGCCCTGATCAGGGATGTGTGGCAGCATGCAGTCACTCTCTTGTGGCCTCGTGGAGGCGGCTTCGAGCCATCGCGGGGCCCTCTTGGGGCCGTCTTGGGTGCCTTTAGGGCTCTCTTGGGGTTCCCTTGGTGCCATCTTGGGCTCTTCTGGGGCCTCTTGAGGGCCTTGCGGGGCCTTCTTGGGCCATCTTGGTGGCCATCGATCAAAGAGGAGGGTTTCTCAGCATCAGTCCTCCCGTCGGGGCCTTTAACTCGCCTCTTGGGGCCCTCGCGGTGGGGTCTTGCGACCTCGGAGCTCGCGGGCCCGCCTTGGACCATAGTGTGCTTGGAGGCCTCTTGAGCGATCATTATCATTGGGACCATCTTGAGGCGTCACGAGCCCATCGGAAGCGAAAGGGCGAGAATACAACCAACATTTGTGTTTATCTAGGTTCGTAAAGGATTTGGGCCTCTCGGGGTGTTCCTGAGGGGCCTCCGTGGCCAATTGGAATCGTCTTGGGTCGGTCGTGGCGCTCTTTGGAGGTATCTTGGAAACTATCTTGAGCCACCTGTGGATATCCTGTGTGATCTTGGAGGCTATCGTGGGTTACCTGGGGCCATCTTGGGCTTCGTTGGACGCTTTAGCGAGCCGCGACTGGGCCCGCCCAGATCTAGGGAGGGGGTATGGGGGAGATGTGCAACCTCTCCTCCAAGTGACGGAGGACGTTGGAATGATACATTCTTTTAGCCCCAGTGAGTTTACAGGGCTGTAGTTTTTGGCATTCAGTAGCTTTGCCACCCGCGTTGCTCTTCCCCCTTTGTCGCGAGGCGGCTCATGCCCACCGTGTGAAATGAAAACTTTGTGCGATTTGGATCTCCGCCCCCCGCCCGGGAAAGTACACAGCCCTCTGGTTACTGTGTGCTTGGATGCTTCCAAGATGCGTTGCGTACGTGTGCCACGGGGCCCTCGCCTGGGCCCGGCGGGCACTGAGGTCTACGGTGGTTGGGCCTCGCGTGCTGGGGGGCGATGAATGGGGCGGGAGCAGCGAGGGCTGCCGACACGGGGGCCCTTTCGGGCCCCAAAAGGGGGCCCTCGGGGCCCGAGGAGTGCACCCTGCTCTCTCGCCCCCGACCTGCAGTCAACCATGATAGTGAGGTTGGGGCAGCCTTCCAAGGCTGCCCTTGCATCCTTGCCCCTTCGGTATTCCGCACCCTTCGGCATTCCGCTGCGCTCCGCACGGGAAACGTCGACATGGCGTCCCAGGGCCCTTGCACCCTTACCGCGCATCCTTACTATCCTGGTCGAGTGTATGTGTCGCCCGCCCCCCCCCCAGCAAGCCGCGCCCAACGTTAGGTCGGGCCTGCCCCTCTACAGGGGGAATATTCCCAAATAGTCAAAAAATAGTCTGGGGACTATGTTTTGAGTATTTTTGGACCATGTTGGAATATGTTTTCAGTATTTTTGATTTTTCAGCGAAAATCCCCCTGTAGGGGGGGACACGCACGACGTAAGCCCAGCGCCGAGAAGAGGGCGGCGCGGAGCGGCACGCGGCACGCAGCGCCACGGCGCCACGGCGCTCCCCGCCCCCAGCGGCGCCGCCGCGCAGGCCCGGCGGCAGCAGCGCGGCGTCTGCAGCGACGGGGACGTGTCGGCGGAGGCCCGGCGCGGCCCGGGGGCCGCGCCCCCCGCCCGCCCCGATATCGGGGGCGGCAAAGAGGGGGGTGATGATTAGGGGGGGGGTGGATATCATGGCGGGGGCCATGATAGTTCCTCGGATGTCATGGCGCCTCTTCTCATTTCATTACGTCCCTGGTCCCCCCGCTGGGCCGCGCACATGCCACCGGACATGATTTGCACCCCCCCCTCTTGGACACCCCCCTCTTGGCCGCTCCCGACGATAGAGGGTCGATGTAGGCCTCCCAAGTATAGGGTCGATAGAGGGTCGATAGAGGGTCGATGGAGGGTCGAGGTCTGAGAAAGCCTGCCCCTTGTCACTTCCCCCCTGGACTCGCCGCCTGTATTTGGGAGGCCTACATCGACCCTCTCCCTCCGTGCCGCCCGACCGTTCCTTCGAGGGGGAACAGAACAACACAGACACAATTAGTCGTCGATTCCCTGGAAAATAGAGGAAACTATGGGCAGTGGGGTGGAAGACAGAAACCCAGAAGATATGTCTATTGATTTGTGTGTCCCAGGGCCCCTTCAGATTCGTTAGTCTAGGCCTCCCAGATGGGGTCGGAGCAGATGGGGTCGGAGGACCGCGCCGCATCGCCGATGCATCGCCGATGCGGCTCGATGTGGAGCCCGATCTGCTTCACGTCGACGTCGCCGATGCATCGCCCACGTCAATAAGGGCTCCCTCGAGGGCGCGAAGTTATTCGCGCTTCGCGGTCCTCGCTCCTTCTCCCCCTCCTCCTCGTCCTCCTTTTCTCCCTTTGGGGGGCGGCGCGAGAGCGCGAAGTTATTCGCGCTTCGCGCTTCGCGCAGCGCGAAGCGCGAAGTTGGGAGCCCTAGGTCAAAGATGCATCGCCGGTGCATCGCCGGTGCATCGCCGATGCATCGCCGATGTATCGGCGATACGGTGCGATCCTCCGACTCCATCTACTCCGACCCCATCTAGGAGGCCTCCAGTTAGGCTTACGTCACATCTGCTGACCCTTTGGACCGATCTGGGGGCAGCCCTGGCCACCGTTCACGCGGACAACACCTCCTTCACCCCTGCGCTCCTACAGCCCTGCTCAGGATCTGTGACTGCATGTACCCTCGCTGCTGTGACAAGTCCACAGTGACGCCCGCCTCTCGCAGGGGAGCTGCCTATTTGCGTCCTGCTTTCGCTCTGCCGCCTCCTGCCGAGGTTGCGGAGGGCACCTCGGCGCCTTCGTCGCCCCCCCCCCCGAGATGAGAGGATGTTCTTGCCCCTTCTGCAAGGGGCTTGGGCGCGGGAAGCGGCAGCAGAGGCGCCTGTCACCCGTCGGATTAGCCCGAGCGGCATCGCTGACAACACCTCCCCCCCGTGGCGACCCCCCGCCGTGGCGACCCCCTCCGGTGGCGACCCCCCCGTGGCGACCTCCTTCGTGGCGACCTCCCCCGTGGCGACCCCCCCCCTGGTCGCGACCAACCCCGTCGCGACCCCCCCCGTCGCGAGCGCCCCCGTGGCGACCCCCTCCGCGGCGACCCTCCCCCGTTGCGACCCCCCTCCGTTCGCGTCCCCCCCCTCGTGGCGACCCCCCCTCCCCGTCGCGACCCCTTCGCCGCCGCCGCCGCCGCCGCCTCGCCGCCGGCAGGCCGCCGCCGCCGCCGCCGCGCCGCCGCCGCGCCCAGACGGCCGCCGCGGTGGCCAAGCCCAAGTCGCGGGGCGCGCCCCGCCCCGCCGCGCCGGCGGCGCCCGCGGAGCGCCAGCCCGCTGCCGGCGAGGCCCGCGGGGCTCCTCCCTCCGCTTGGGTCGGGCACGTCCTCCTGCAGGCGGCTTTTGGACGAGGGATATGGGATAGCCAAGAAGCAGAGCGTGAGTTACCTGCCCCGCTTTCGCTTCCAGGCAAAGCCAAGTCATACCATACGCCTCCTCGTCAAGCGGCCTGACCAGTACATGCCGTAGCTTGGCATCGCTTGGTATCTCTTGGAAGCGAGGGTGGTCAAAAGCGAGGTAGGTTTGTCTGCCCCCTAAAGAAATATGTGAAGGTAGTCAGAAGTGGTCGAGAGATCGTCCCCAGGCTATCCTGCTGCAGAGGGACATGCCCGCCTTGCCCTCCTCCGCCTCCGCCCCTCCGCTTCGGATGGGCGATGGGGGGTCCGGCGATGACCGATCGACCGACGATTGACGACGACAGCTACGACCGAGGACAAGCGTCGACTGGCGACGACGACGACGACGACGACGACGACGGATGTCGGAAACGACGACGACGGATGACGGAAACGACGACGACGACGGACGTCGGAGACGAAGACGACGGATGATGGAGATGACGGGGACGACGGATGATGACGGACGACGACGACGGACGACGGACGCCGGACGACATGAGCCGGGGCCAGAAAAGGGCGCCATGCGGGGGAAGGGGGAATAGTTACCAGCCTCGAACGTATCCCTATCCCTAAGATTGACACGCCACAAGGCGATGACAATCTTAGGGATTCGCCCTCAAAAAATAAGGGAATCCCTAAGATTGGCATCGTGATGAGGAGGTGCCCAGCATAGGGATAGGGATATGTTACAGGCTGGTGAAATGGGGCATTTAGACGGGATGCGAGTAGGTTTTTGTCATGGCCATCGACCGTCGCCAGACGGCCCGGTCCTCTCGGAGGGCCAGCGCGCTTCCCAGCGCGCCCGTCGCCCAGCAATGGGCCGCCTCGCCTCCGGGCGATGGCGGTCGTTCGTTCGTTCGTTCGTATCGACCGTTGATCATACGCTGTTATATGTTCTTGGCGCTTGTGGTGAGTTGCTCAGGGAGTGGCTGGGATGATGATGATGATGATGATGATGGTGGTGGTGGTGGTGGTGGTGGTGGTGATGGTGGTGATGATGATGATGATGATGGTGATGATGGTGATGGTGATGATGGTGATGATGGTGATGGTGATGGTGATGGTGATAGTGATGGTGATGGTGATGGTGATGAGGATGCTGCTGATGCTGCTGCTGCTGATGATGATGATGTTGTTGATGATGATGCTGATGATGATGATGATGATGAGGAGGTGGAGGAGGAGGAGGAGGAGACGTAGGAGGAGGATGAGGAGGATAAGTAGGAGGAGGATGAGGAGGAGGATGAGGAGGGGCAGGAGCAGGAGGAGGAGGAGGAGGCAGGAGGAAGCAGCTCGAGGGTTGGGCAGGAGGCAGGGGAACAAGAAGAGATGAGAGGCATTCCGACGCTGGTGGGCAGGAGGTGGCAGGAGGGTGCAGGGCAGGAATGCAGGGTGGAGAGAGATGGGACAGAGGGAGAAAGAGAGAGAGGGAGAGACACACATATAGAGAGATAGAGAGAGATAGAGAGAGAGAGACACACATATATCTATATATATATACATATATATACAGATAGACAGAGAGATAACAAGAGAGAGAGAGAGACATTAATACATACATAAAGACAGAAGAGAGAGAGAGAGAGAGAGAGAGAGAGAGAGAGAGATAGAGAGAGAGTGTGTGAGAGAGAGAGAGAGAGAGAGACCGCACGCCGATGCGGAAAGAGTCTTTCTGGGCGCGCGCCCACCTTTCGGTCCGCGAGAGGGCGCCACGACCGCTATGTTTGCGGTTGCAGGTCCGTCGGTTTTGGTCCCAGGCCGTTCTCACTAAAGGGTGGTTTTTACTAAAGGGAGGTCTGTCCACCGCCGAGTCTGACGCTTGCTATAGCGTCAAGTAAAGGCCACCATCAGGACCCTATTGGGGCACCAATCCACATTCTGTACACACGCACACACATATATATACATATATATATACATATATATAATACCACATATATATATATATATATATATATATATATATATGTGGTCCACTCCTTCAGTCGAGGGGGGAGTATAGGGAGGTTTGTCCACGACCGAGTCGAGGGGGGGCAACTTCTCTCTCTGCCGATCTCCCGCCGACGGCCCTCAGGGCGGCGCGGGGGGCGCGAAGAGTGCGCCGAAGGCCGGCCGCGCAGCGGGGGGGGGGAGGGAGGGGCGAGGAGGACGAGGAAGGGGAGGGGGAGGAAGAGGAGGGGGAAGAGGAGGGGGAAGGGGAGGGGAGGAGGAGGAAGGGGACGAGGAAGAGGAGGGGAGGGGAGGAGGCGGAAGAGGACGAGGGAGAGGAAGGGGAGGCAGAGCAGGGTCAACCCGAGACGCGTCAACGATGTTGGAATGGACACTCCCTTCCAAACTCCCATCCTCACAGAGGCCCTGCCAAGGGTGTCCTCTTTACTAGAAGAGGTGCCCCCTCGAAAGACCAGCACCCCATGGGCCTGCCGTTCACGCGGAAGGCCCTTTTGAGCAGGAGCTCTGCCTTGGACCTCCTCGCGGCCAGTATGGAATGCGAACGATATACGGCCGCACTTCTCCTCCTCCTCCTCCGCCTCCTCCGCCTCCTCCTCCTCCTCCTACACCTCCTACTCCTTCTCCTAATCCCTCTACTCCTCCTCCGCCTCCTCCCCGTCCTGCTCCTCCTCCGCCCCCGCCTCCTCCGTATGGGCAACCAAGTCAGGGAGGCGTCCAGCGACGTCCCCGTTCTGAGACCCGGGGCCGCCCCGCCCCCCATCTCTGCAGCCGCTGCGCGCCTGTGTGCGTGCGGACTGTTTTCGGGAGGGGAGACAAAACACACAGACACAGACACAATGAATCGCCGATCCCCTGGAAAGTATGGGAAAGTAGGGGAAGTGGGGGCGAGCAAGCGGGCAAAGGCCATGCATCCCGAAGGACGCGTCGGCGTACTCGAAGCTGCGCCATAGGCAACCGAGTGAGATAGTGAAAGCATAAAATGAACAGGGGCTACCTGTTCTCTGAGCCCGAGGAGACGCATCGCATCCCCTAGGGAAATGGTAAACTGCTCAGGGCGGACGCTATGGTCGCCCTCAAAGCGCACGGCAATTGCGTCGGAAATTGTAGCGATGGGAGAAGAGGAAGTGGGGGGGAAGACGAAGACCCATAACAAATATGGGAAACTGTGGGGAATCCTGTGATCTGTGTGCATTTCTCCGTGTGCCCCGGGTCCCCTGGAAAATATGGGAAAGTATGGGAAGGGGGGGGGGGAGACGAAGACCCAGAACAGATGGGAACCTGTGGGGCATCCTGTGATCTCTGTGTGCACTTTTCTCTGTGTGCCCCGGGGCCCCTGGAAAAAAATGGGAAAGTATGGAAATATGGGAAATATGTGTGCATTTCTCTCCGTGTGCCCCGGGGCCCCCCTTCCATTCTCGGGCGGTGAGCCTCCGAGGGCCCCCGCTCGGGCGGGCGGGAGCCCCACGGGTGCAGCGGGGGCCTGCCCCCTCCGCCCGTGCGGCCTGCCTCGCGGGCTCTTCGGCCTCGGGTCGCTGCGGCTCCCTGCGGCTCCGGAGGAGAGCAAGCAAAAAAGCACGCAGACACGACGAATCGTCGAGTCCCGGGAGCAGGTGGGGAAGTCTGGGAAGTGGGGGGGAAAGACGAGAACCCAGGAGATGCGGGAAAATATGGGGAAGCCTTTTATTTGTGTGTGTGTGTGTGTGTGTGTGTATTTCTTTAGCACGCAGACACAACGAATCGTCGAGTCCCGGGAGCAGATGGGAAAGTCTGGGAAGTGGGGGGAAGACGAGAACCCAGGAGATGCGGGGAAGATCTGGGGAGGCCTTCTCTTTGTGTGTCTTTCTTTGTGTGTCCCAGGGCCGCTTCATCGGCGCCACGAGTCCCAAACGAGAGCTAAGTCGGGCCTGTCCCTCTACAGGGGAGGAATTCTCAAACATAGTAACACAAATATTCGTGGGACCATCTTTTTCCAGCGTTTTTTGTTTTACCATCCTGGAGTATGTTTGGGGTATTTTTTTATCTTTCGCCAAACATCCGCCTGCAGGAGGACACGCCCGCCCCAAAACAAGAGCCCCATTTCGACAGGAAGCGTTCTCTGGCCCTGTAGCCAGTGCAAACTTTCAAGACGAATGCGCGCGGCGTTAAGGCGAGAGCCCAAGTTCGAAAGATGCTGCCGTCAATCTTCGAAGCTGCTGCAAGCTTTTCACGATGATTTCCTAAATCGGAGGTGCGCCCGCGATTTCGCAAAATAACCACTGGCGCATGTAGCATGATTTTCTTGATTCATGCGGTTGACTGGTTGGAACTCGACCATCCCGGGAGAGCAAGGCTGGTTTGTCAAACCTTCTCTGGTTGTAAAGTGATTCATCTAGTTGCAACAAGAGACCGCACGCGGACGGCATGTGCAGGGGAGGTGAGGGGACGAGGAACTGGAGGGGGAAGAAGACGTGGAAGGGATCATGTGGATGAGCGAAAAAGATGGGAGGGGATGGATGAGTGTGGGGAGGGATGAGTGTGGGAAGGGATAAGCGAGGCGCGGGGAAGGGGGGGGGAGTGGACGACTGAACAGAAAAGGGAGGCGGAGGTGGGGTGTGCGATGCGGTGGGAAAGGGGATGGAGTGGGATTGGATTTGGGTCTGCCTGCTAGCCCTCCTCCCAGGCCAAGAAGCAGAAGAAGAAGGGCGGCAAAGGCAAAGAGAAAGCTGAGAAGGCCAGCAAAAAAACGAAGGCTGGCAATCGTGTCAGTCACCGTCTGGACGCTCTCGTGCACATTTTCTGCTCGTGCCGCATGGCTATCTCTGCGAACGCGCTCGCCCTTGGGGCGAATAGTATGCTTGATCGTCGGGGGGGGGGCTGCGGTGCATCTGGAGGTCTGCTTTGGGTTTTGGTATCCCTACACTAGATTGGTTTTGGTGTCTGGGTGGCTGATCTTATTTCCAAGTGCATTCGCTTCTTGCTGTTTTGGCTGTTTCTGATTCCAAGCTCACTGAAGCAGTCCGAGCCTTTTTGATAGGTGCCAGCGGCGAACAACATGTGTGTGCGGTGGGTTCTCGGCCTGTTGTCCCTTCGTGACCCTCGCATCTGATTTTCTTGGATCGATGTCGCGTCGATCTTTGCCCGCATACCCCTTGAGCCTTAGACTTGTAGCACGTCCTCTGCCTCCCATTATATACAAAACCCTTACCTCCAGTATCCTGGAGAACTTGAGACGTTGTGTGTCCGTCCTTTTCTGTCTCAGGTTTCATTGCCCCGGGGTCGCCAGCTGAGTTCGTCAGGATCGGACGCCAATCCTGGAGCGGGGTTGAGATCTCCAGACTCCGCGTACGAAAGGAATCACGACATCGAAGGGCTGGGAACCTCCCAGTCCAACTTTCCTTGCTTCCCACACTCTTTTGACTGTGGCTGGGAGGTCGAGCTGGGCTGCTGCATGCCCTCCAGCCTTGAGCCTAGAATCTACGGAAGCACGCTCAATGCTATGAATCTGCCCCAGTCTTCTATCCTGGGCCAGGCCCGCCGCTTAGACAATTCTCTTTGACAGGGCCTGCTCCCCCCCCCCCTTGGTTCCCCGTTGCCCCACGCAGTACGCTCGCGTTGCGGGGCCGGGTCGGGGCGTCCTCTCGGTCGCGGAGATCGGGACGATCGAACTGGGGACGGACATAATGGGTGTACAAAGACCGACAGCAGTTCCTGTTCATTTCGAACAGGACCCGCTGTCCGCGCCGCCGCGGGCATTGTCCGTGGAAGACAAGAAGCCGCCTGCCCGACAGCAGCCACTGTCGGTTTTGGACAGCAGCTGTTCTTGGGCGTACCCATCCCGGGCGTCCATGGCAGAGGCGAGGTGGGCTGGCGGCGCGGACGGGAGTCGGGAGATGCCGGACTGGTTGCGCACCAGCCTCGATCCTGGTCAGGCCCATCCTCAGCACAGAGCCGACGGGTGCGTCCTCCCAGCTCCGCCTTCTTGGCGCACCGATCTTGGGCCCGGGATCGGACAGGCCAGGGCAGGGGCGCGGTATTGGAGTGCCGCTGGTATCCTCCACGGGGGCTGCGTGGAGGAGGGCCGCCGAGCGGTGGCTGCTTGACCGAAGGGAGGCGAGCCCGCGGCCGCTCCGGGAGGCGCAGTGGGAGGGCCCTGCGGGGCTCCTCCCCTCGTCTCCTTCCTCGGCTCGTCTCCCCTCCGCCTCCCTTCTCGCCCTCCTCCCCCCGCCCCACATACACACTTGGAGGTCCGCGCGGATTTCGCTGGTCGGCGCGGGCCCCCCTCGCGTGTCACACAGACCCTAGGGCGCTCCGGGCGCCGGGGAAGCGGGTGGGGGGGAAGGTTCAGCGCCGACCTGAGAAGTCCGCGCGGAAATCCGAAGATATTTTGTTTTTTTTGTTTTTGATATTGTGACTCGAGGAATTCTCATCCTCCCCTTTGCTGCAGAATGATCGAATGCTCCACGATGGCTGCCTGGAAGGCCCTACGATTTGTTTTTTGGGCTTGGGAGTCCCCGCCGAGTGCGAGCGCATACTGGCCACTAAGTGCGAGCGGATACTGCAGGCGTGGCTGGGTCAACCCCTCTCATCTTCCTCAATCTCTGCCCTAAGGATCTCCCTGGCCTGTGTCGCCCCGTTGGCGAAGCTTCAGCACAAAAAGAAGGTCGCCGCGAGTCCTCATGCTGCTGCTTAGGGGATCTGCCAGTAATGGTGGCAAATGCCGCTGGTTCTGCGGTGCGGATTAGGCTCTTCCAGCATCAACTAAAGTTTTGAATGCATTTTGACACTGGGTGATCACATTGTTGAGCTGTTTTCGCGGACGTTGAATGAATCGTTTACATGTTCTTCGACAGTTAATCGATTGTTGACGCTTTTTGAATAGTAGATCAGTGATGCTCGTGGTTGAAAACAGCCTCACATATTTTCGCATGGTGGTGCGTTTTGGCATGCACCGTGAACATGCTATGTGCAAACAGGATCCAGATGCCTGCGTCAAGGCCTGGGAAGGGGGGCCGAGGAAGAGTAGGAAGCGGAGGGGGAAAAGAGGAAGAGGGGGGCATGTGGCTCATGCGCGCTTGCACGTTTGCAGACACGACTGCTGCGTTCACAAGCATATCATTGAGCTCGCGTCTCGCTTCCCATGAAGTAGCGATGCCCAGGCCCAGGCGAGTTGCACTGATCGGGGACGTGGATGTGCATACAGTGTCATACAGTAGATCATCCGACTCGGGAAGCCGTCATACCCCAACAAGGGGAACATGTAGGAACCATTGGAGGAGATGGAGGACGAGGAGGAGGAGGAGGAGGCCAAGCCGAGGCGCCCGAGCCTTTAACAGTGAACGTCAGAGCCATCCTCTCCTCGCACCTGCCTTATCAACAATTCTGAGCTTCCGGCCCCCAGTGGGCTGCAACTTGAGCCTTCAGCCTCGGCATCCAGCCCCCCGGGTGCAAACCCAGCATCAAGCTGAACGTTTCGCCTTTGCTTGCCTGTGGTGCAAGCAGCCAAATGTTCGGCGACGTCGAGGGGCCTGGGGGCGTTTCGACGATTTCTTTGATGAGGTTAGTTTCTGTTGGCGACGATAAACATGATATTTGCGTGCGCCCGTGCCGACCATCCCATTACCCACTACCCGCTACCTAGTACGCCTCGTGCGCGTTTCATTTGCCAGTGTAACAAAACATTTACTCATGCTGCAGTTATTAGTTCTACACCCTCGCGATAATCGTACCACATTCCGTTGCCGCCCCCCCCCGTATGTCTTACCCTTGCACCATTCTCCCGCGGGTGGCGGCTCGCCGCGGCAGCGAGCCGCAAGCGAACGACGCCTATTACAACGCCATTGCCAGATGCACTGCAGACCAAGGCACAACAACTTCTGACCACTGCGGGACGCGCGCGTCCAGTGGGCTCGCCCCACGGCCAGCGCACCCCGTTCTCAGCTCTGGGCCAGAGCATCCTGTGGTGGCGGGGTTGTGGCAGATGGCGGCAGTGATGGGTTGTGGTGGTGGTGGTGGGTGTGTGGTGGTGGGCGGTGATGATGGTTGGTGGCGGTTGCGGCGGTGAAAGAAGGGCGACGACGCGCCGTCGCGCAGTCCTACTCAGGACGCCCTTCGCGCCCCGCTCGCACTCGCGCCGCCGCGCGCCCCTTGCGCGTTTCGTGGCCCGACGAGGAGCTCCGCCGAAGGCCTCGGTGGCAGGGCCCACGCGCGCCCCCTACCGTTTCGGCGCGCCCTCGCGCGCGTCGCGGCCCCACTTGGGGCGCCGCCGAAATGGGGGGTCCGCGCGCGTCCCCCTGCGCCACGTCGGCGCGCCCCTCGCGCGCTTCGTGGCCCCACAGGAGACCCCGCCGACGGCCTCAGTGGGAGGGTCCACGCGCGCCCCCCCGCCCGTTTCGGCGCGCCCTCGCGCTTTTCGTTGCCCCGTGGGGGGCTCCGCCGAAGGCCCCGGCGGGAGCGTCCCCGCGCGCTCCCTTCGCGCTAAGTCGGCGCGCGCGCGCGCCCCGCGCGCGTCGCGGCCACGAAAAGGGGCGCCGCCGACGACGAAGATTCTCGCGACTGCGTTGTTCACCGTTGCATACCGTTGGGTCTCTCGCCCGGGTAATTGTTGTTTTGTTCCTGTCCCATCTCTCGTTTCTTATGCTGCTGCTGCTGCTGCTCCTCTTCGTTTGCCCCGTCCTGCTCCTGATGGCCCCCTTCCGGTTATTCCTGTTTCCTGTGCTTCTGGCGAATGGCTTGACGAATCTGCTGACTCTGCGTCCCCTGCATCCTCGGGGCGCTCGTCGTCGTCTCCCTCCTCCTCCTTTCTCTGCCTAGCCGCGCGGCAGATGTTGTTGTCGCCCCCCCTTTTGTTTCGGGTGCCCTTCCGCACCCCTTCCCCTCCGACGTAGCGTCCTTCCCCTTGTCCTCGCGTTGCCGCTGGCATCCCTGCTGCCGCGAGGGCTCAGGGCCCACATCGATATGATTCAACTGTTTGGCTTTGCCTCTCGCCAACGAGTCGTTCGGCTTGGCTTCTTTTTTGCTTTTCCATGCGCTTGTCGACTCCCCCGCCGGCAGTTTTACGTTTCCTTGTTTTCACGGGCCGGAATCCGCGGCCCAGCGTTGGTTGCCTCCTTGCAGTGGGTATGGCGCCGTCCCGCATCGCTCTCAGCTGCTGGCAGGCGGTTGGGGGCGCCAGTGTGCGCGCGATGGGGCGAGGCGAGGCGAGGCGAGGTGAGGTGAGGTGAGGCGGGTTGAGGTGGGGCGGGGTGGTGTGGGGTGTGGTGATGGCGATGACGACGATGACGACGATGACGACGATGACGACGATGATGGTGATGGTGATGCTGATGGCGTCTACAAGGGAGGCACCCCCTCGGCGTTCCCAAGGCTGCTCCGTGGCCCAGCGTCCCCTGGGTATGCTCGGCTTTTGTTTGATTGCCCGCTTGCCCGGATTGCTCTGTTCAGGGGCGCCCGAGGGGGCGCGAAGTCATTCGCGCTTTGCGCTTCGCGGTGCTCTGGATCCTCCTCGTTTTTTTGTTTCTCGTCTTGGGTGGGCGGCGCGAGAGTTCGAAGCTACTTGCGCTTCGCGCAGCGCGAATCCCCCGTTCTCCGAAATTCAGCGCCTGTGTATGTTGCCCAGCTTCCCCGCGCTCCCCAGTGTTATTCGGGATTGGTCGGTCAAACAAGGTAGCAAAACCAAGCAATTCGAAGCAATTCCTTCCTTCGTTAGTTACCTTTTCCGTCGCTGTGGTCGCGTCGGGTGCATGTTTTGAGAACGTTTCAGGCGAAACGTCCGCACGCCCTCGCAGAAAGGGGCGGGGTGGAATGGAGGCGCGAGGAGGGTCTGGGCCGAACAGAGGAAGGGGGCAGGGTCGGGGGAGAGCTCGAGGATCGACTTTCGATCTTCGATCCTCGCTTACTTCTTGCCTCCCGCCGCGACAGGCCGCCGCCGCCGAGGTCGCGGCGCCCCCCGAGAGGGAGGCCGCCGCCGCGCCGGGGCGAGCCGCAGGCGCGCGCGCAGCCTCTGCTAATGACGGCGGCAGCGATCGGCCCAGGCCGCCAGAGGCCAAGGGATTCCTGCAGCCGGGGGCCCGTGTTCCAGCGTGGGCCCCAAGCAGTACAGTTGGGGTGCTGAAGAAGGAACCCTTTTCGTTGGGGAGGGGCTCGGTGTTCCTTGATTGTTTCACAGCTTGCCTCAGGTTTTCCTTCTGTTTTCGATGGGAAATCGAAGTTTAACTTATGGAAAACAGGGGCCTCGTTCCTTATTGAGGGTTCCTCAGGTCAACGCCCCGACTGTAGGTCCCTGCACCCTCGACGTGTGCGCTCTGCGTGGTGCAGCTCACGGGAGGCAGCCTTGTGGGTGCAAGACGTGTGGCCCCAGATGTGGGAGGCGCTGCGCCTGGTGGGCGTCCGCGCGTGAGCGCTTCCGATGCTCGTGCAGCGATCCCGCCCACCACTTGATGGCACAGGTCACCTGGCATGATTAGGCGATGGCCGTTCTCGTGGAGATCCATGCTCCGGTTGGGCGAGTGCTGAGGATAATGATGATGGCGATTACGACGATGATGATGTTGACGTCCACGGTGGGAATGATGACGATGGCGATGAGTACGCTGACGATGATGATGTTGGCGACGAGGACATCGATGGTGCCCCGTGCAAGGGCAATGATGCGATTGACGACGGTGGAGATGACGACGATGACAGTTTGACGGTCACGGCGAACGATCGCGCATACATTTCAGAATAGAGTATCTGTTTCGTGTAGGTGAGCTATGTGGCGCAAGGTGTGGGACGCAGTGTATGCTGCGTGACCCATCAAGTGTGATCCATGTCTGTCCACAGTACACATGTTGCGCAAGCCGTGTGGTGCCGCAAGGTCGGTTTCTAATGCTTCGGTTGCAGGTGGAGGGCGGGACTCATCAGCAAACGGCGGAGGTCCGGGTCCGCCATCTGGAGTTCATCCCCCCCCGTAATGCGAAGACGCTCAGGCGTTGAGAGCAACCGACAGGCAGACAACCCGTGGAAGGACCCGTTCGCTATCGACCGTGGCTCCAGACAAGTTGCCGATACGCTTCTGCTGCGGTCTCGGCGTGCCGATGTGTGAAATGGCCCGGCGACTGCCGACGTGGGCCAGATTTCAGAAGATCCCACGGGACTGCGTACGATCTTGATCCCGATTCCCAAGTTGAGGCTGGTCCCTGCTGGTCTTTGTCGTCGTTGTCGCCCTCGCCTTGGCCCGTTCTGGCGTCGTTGTCGTCCTCGGCGTTGGTGCGGCCGCACTGGCAGGACAGTGTCCTCATGAGCGCCGGTTCTGCGGTACAGATTTGAGTGCTTCGTTTTTCCTGAAAAAGGTCGGGCTTTTAGTTTACGTGGTCGTGCACGGAAGCTTGGGCTCATATTTACTGATCGGCCGTCATCCGTTTCTGTCGAGGCTGGAGCAACAGTGGTCGTCCTCGTCGTTCTCGGTGCCGTGGTCGGAGCTCGCCCGCGTCGCCGTCCTCGCCGCCCGCCGCCCTCATATCCCAGTCCTTGTCATCGATCCGTGGCAGTTTTCGTCGTCGTCGCCCTCGTCGGCGACATCTTTCCTGTTCTCGCTCCTGCCTCTGTGCTCTCGCCCCAGAGCTGTCGGCCGCCGCCCGGCGACCGCCCCCCGCGAGGCGCCCAGCGCGAAGGCAAGAGGAAGGCCGGCGGCGTCGCCGAGGACGCTGGGGTAGCATGGAGGGAAGGTGCGGCTCTCGAGAGCCTCGCGGCGGGGGTCCAAGGCAGACGGGGGTTTGCCAGGGCGCCCGCTCTTGCGGCATCCTGCGGGGCCAGGGCCGCACTGCCCCGGGCTTGGGTGCAGGACCCTGCAGGGTCTTGCAGGAGCCTTCGCATGGACCCAGGGCTTGGGTGCAGGATCTTGCAGGATCTCGCAGGGTGCTGCAAGGCCCGACTGGCCCGGGTCTGGATTGACCCGGGTCCGAAGATCCCCGATCGGCGACACGAGGTCACAGCGACCCTCCTGCAGATTGGCGTGCGGTGCGGGCCCACATGGGGTCCCCCGATCGCTGAGGCCTAGGCCTCCTGGACGCGGTCGGAGTACATATGGGGTCTGGGAGGCCTCCATGGATGCGATGCGATGGGGGCGTCTTGCGCGCTCGGTTTTGGCACCCCTGCGTCCTCCCCTCCCCCAGAGCCGCGCACCGAGAGCCGCTCTTGCCCGGGACCACTCCTCTCCGCGTGGCCGAGATGAGGCCCGCGACGTCGCGGCGCACGGACCGGTGGCTGCCGGCGCTGGCGGGGATCGATTGCTCCCCTCTGCTCCCCTTACGTCGGACACGTCCTTCTACAGGAGGAATGTTCAAAGATAGAAAATGGTAGTCCTGGGACGATGTGTTTGTTGGTATTTTCCCATATTTTTGAATATTTCTATGGTCTCCAGCCAGTGCCGCCGATCCGGGGCGCTCGGGATGATGATGATGATGATGATGATGATGATGATGATGATGATGATGATGATGATGATGATGATGATGATGATGATGATGATGATGATGATGATGATGATGATGATGATGATGATGATGATGATGATGATGATGCTGATGCTGAGCTGATGCTGATGCTGATGCTGATGCTGATGCTGATGCTGATGCTGATGCTGATGCTGATGCTGATGCTGATGCTGATGCTGATGCTGATGCTGCTGCTGCTGCTGTTGCTGCTGCTGCTGCTGATGATGATGATGATGATGATGCTGATGCTGCTGCTGATGATGATGGTGATGGTGATGGAGATGGTGATGGTGATGGTGATGCTGCAAGTAATGATGATTATGATGACGAGGGTGACAATGCTGCTGCTGATGAAGACTATGATCATGATGATGACAATGATCATGATGATGCTGCTGCTGATGATGACTAAGATTATGATGCTGCTGATGATGATGATGATGATCATGATGATGACGATGCTGATACTGATGATGGTGCTGATGATAATGATGATGCTGCTAATGATGATGCTGATGATGATGATGATGATGATGCTTATGATGATGATGATGATCATGCTGATGCTGATGATGCTGATGATGATTATGATGGTGGCGATGATGATGCTGATGCTGCTGATTATGATTGTGATGATGATGCACATGATGCTGCTGATGATGATGATCATGATGATGATGATGACGATGCTGATGCTGATGCTGACGATGCTTATGATGATGACGATGATGATGATGATGATGATGATGATGAGGGTGATGATGATTCTGGTGGTGATGGTGTTAATGATTATGATGCTGATGATGATGATGGCGATGTTGGTGATCATTATGGTGCCGATGATGAGCATTATGATGATTATGCTGATGAGAATGATGCTGCTGCTGCTGATGATGATGATGATGATGATGATGATGATGATGATGATGAACATTATGATGAGCATGATGATGAGCATGATGATGATGATGACGATGATGATGAGCATGGTGATGATGATGATGATGCTGATGATGATGCTGATGATGATGATGCTGATGCTGATGATGATGATGATGATGATGATGATGATGATGATGGTGTTGGCGATGCTGATAATGATTACGATGATGATGATGATGATGCTGCTGATGATGATGATGAGGATGATGGTGCTGATGATGATGATGATGATGATGATGATGATGATGATGATGATGATGAGGATGAGGATGAGGATGAGGAAATGGATGAGGATGAGGATGATGATGATGATGATGATGATGATGATGAGGATGAGGATGAGGATGAGGATGAGGATGAGGATGAGATGATGATGATGATGATGATGATGAGGATGAGGATGAGGATGATGGATGATGAGATGATGCTGATGATGATGATGATGATGATGAATGATGATGATGAGATGATGATATGATGATGATGATGATGAGATGATGATGATGATGATGATGATGATGATGAATGATGATGATGATGATGATGATGATGATGATGATGATGATGATGATGATGATGATGATGATGAATGATGATGATGATGATGAGGTGCTTGTACTGGGAGGGGGGTGCTGGCACAGAGGGGTGTGCCGGCACGGGGGGGGGGGGGGGGCGGCACCGGGGTGCGGGTGTCGGCCCTGGGGGGGGGCCCGGCACCGTGAGGGGGGGGTGTCGGCACTGGGGGGGGGTGCCCACACAGGGGGGGGTACCGGCATCGGGGGGGGCCAGCACCGGTGGGGGGGCCGGCACCCGGGATGGGGGGGCGGCACGAGGGGGGGGGGGGTGGCAGCGGGGGGGGTGCCGGCACTGGGGGGGGCTGCTGGCACCAGGCCTCTGGTGCCCCAGGGAATGGGTCTGGCGTTGCGGGGGCGGGTTGCGCCCTCTGGTGCCGGCCCCGCGGAAGGGGTCCAGCGTTTGGGGGGGGGCCGGAGGGGGGGAGCCCCCCCGAAGTGGAATGAGGTGAGAGGGGAGGGGGAGAAAAATTGAGAGGGGGGGAGGAGCGGGGAGGCTGCAGAGCGAAGAGAGAGCGGGGGCTGCAGAGCGAAGCTTGTCCCCTCTCCCTTCTTGCGAGATCGCTCAAGCTTCGCTCTCCAGCGGGAGAGGGGGGGAAGGGAAGTGAGGGGGGGGTCAGGGGAGGGGGGGAGGGGGGAGGGCCTCCCCGAAGTGGAATTGGGAGAGGAGGGGGTGGAAGAGGGGGTTGAGTTTTTTTGTTACAATTCTCTATACTCCGTTTTACAACATATCCGCCTGTAGGAGGACACGTCCGACCTGATGCTCCCCTTTGGTTGACCCAGGCTTTGGAGGCATCTGGCGCCGACCACCCCTCCCCTCACTCCGCTGACCCAGATTTTTTGAAGCTGCTGCGGGGCCGGCTGGGTTGCTCGACACGGCTCTGGCTCACCCGGGGTCGCTCGCCTCGGAACAAAGAGAGAGAGAGAGAGAGCCCTGCACGGTCTTGGGCCATCTTGGGCCTCTGCCCCCTCTTGCCCTCCCCCCCAGGCGAAGAGAG